GGGATTGATACCTGCAGCATTGAGCCCTGCTTTGGTGAGAACGACTGAATTAGAAGAAAATATACACTACTGGTCAAAAGGTTTAGAACAGCCCAGTTTTTCAGTTATTCATTCAAGTCATCCAAGTCCAGTGAACAGCTTGAAATGCTACAAAGGTAAGTGTTGAACTGCCAGAGGTAAAAAAAAAGGTTAGGTTACCCAAAACTGAAAAATAACATACAATTTAAACTTATACAAAAAGGCCCTTTTCAGGGATGGTTAACAGTTTAAAGCTGCTCTGCAGCAGTGGAGGCTGATCAGGCCTTGAAAGCTGCTGCTACTAATTCCTACAGCTGGTCCAACCTCCTCTGTCTGCATAAAGCAGTGTTGGACACACTGTGGTACTATGACCTCGTCAGCATCAGTTGAACAATATCGTACTGCAGAAAGTAGAGTGTTGCTACAGAAATGATGAGAAAAAGGTGATTAACAATGGAAGAGAGACAGACCATCATCACACTTATAAATGTAGGTCTGTGCTACAGAGAGACTGCAAAGAAAGTCAAGGTGTCAGCGAGTCCAGTTTCCTTCAGCATCAAAGGCTCAGAAACTGTGACAGGAAGAGGTCTGCACACCCAAAGACACGAGTGGATCAGAGGACAAGTTTCAAGCTCAGTTTCAACTGTGAAGAGAAACTTTGAGCTGCAGGTTTGACAGGATGAGCTGCAGCGAGAAAGCCAGACGTCAGAATAAGACAAAGAGGCTCGTCGGGGCCATGAAACACCGACACTGGACTACTGAAGACTGGAAGAAGGTTTTATGGACTGATGGATCAACATGCAGGATCTTTCTACGAGGTTGAGTAGGTGAAAGGTTCCACAGTGTGATGGTCTGGCTGTTTGCTGGATCGCTGACTTGTACAGAGTGAGAGGCTCCCTGAACCAAAACAGCTGCACAGCGTCCTGCAGCACCATGCAGGACCCTCTGGTCGTTCATCCTACAGCAGGATAATGACCCAAAACATAAATCCAAGCTGTGCCAGAACCACC